TCTCACGCGCGTTGATACACTGACGGTTTATTTTTTTTCTTTCTTTTTTTTTTTTTTTTGAAGAAAAAAAATTCATATTGACATGAAGTCATAAATTATTTGCTCTTTTTTTTCCATATTACAATAGAGGAAAATAATAATAATAATTTGAACTATATTTCACACCATATATGAGATATTGTATTTTTCAAAAATTAGTGGTTCTATGAAAAAAAAAACATTTTTAATAATTATATTTTTGCAAAATATTTTTCTCTACACGGGGAAAAAAAAACTTTACCTGGAGCAGCAATATATTTTACTAAAACAGCGAAAGTTTTTGCTATATTCTAGAGAGAAACATATCGCTATTCCAAATAAAGATTTTTTTTTCCTTTATATTTATATTATAAAAATTAGTAATTTATAAAAAAAAAAAAATAGAAATAAAATCAATTGGAGAAAAATATTGTAAATGGTATAGAAAATGAAGAAACAATTATATTGTTCGAATAAGTGTGTTATAAGTTGTATGTTATATGCGCGGCGAAGAGAATCTCAGTGCCAATTTTACGAGCTCTTTGAAAGACACAGTACCAACATGATTTGTTTTACTTGCCCGTTCTATATGGTCGGTCCCGTAGTCTTTGAAAGGGGGCCATATAGGTTGGCAGGTAAAAGGTATATAATGTATGAGGGGCGTAAACGGGCGTAGTAACATAGTAACGTTTATTATATTGGTCAGACCGCGCGCGTGTGTTACTATATATATATATATATGATGCGAAATAGAGAACTTTTGAGAATATCCTTAACTAATTGTACACCTCAATATCGAAAAACCAATATATCTCATAAAAGAATTTCTTCAAAAACATTTTTTCCCACTTCAATAATTTTAATCAACAATTATTGATAAAAGAATATTTTTATATATATTTCAAAATAATATAGCTTTTTTTTGGAATGACTTTTTGTCAAATTAAAAATTATTTTCTTAGGTGCAAAACTTACGTTTATATTATTGAGGGGTACAGGGGGACTGATGCCCCTGCGGCCCCCGCCGCTAACCTCCGCCTCCAGATTGATTGATTTGATCCCTATCAGTTAGTTACTTTCTCTAAGGATCACGCAGCTTCCTTTCTCCTAAGACTTTTCTCCAATAGTACTTTGATGCAACATAATAAAAAAAAAAAAAATCACTTTTCACTTGAAAAAAAAATCAATTTTCTTTTTATTCTTTTTTTTTTGAGAGAAAAAGGAGAGACCACGTGGAAATCACTTCAACAAGTAGTTGCTAAACTGTTATTCATCACACCGCTCTATAAACACTCCACTATAGCACTTGAACTATATATATATATATCTTTTTTTTTAATTTTGTATCCAATTTCACAAAATTTAATTAATCCCTCAATTTTTTTTCAAAAAGTATCAAATCCGTAACAATTTTAGATCCTTGTGAACTTGCCATGTGGTGTCAAGATCAGCTGTTTTCTTCATATCAATGTTTACCTTTCAAAACGAATTTTCTCCGCAATTATTAATTTTTTTTTTCCAAAACTTCGGCGGGGGAGGCAAAAAAAAGCATCAGATACGAAACGGAACTGACTCGCGAACACGTGTGCCTTTTTTCAGATACAAAAAATACTACAATTTCAAACTAAAAAAAAAAAAAAAGAGACCGATAAGTTTTAGACAAAACTTCTTAAGGGCATGTTTAACAAATTGAAAAATTTCAAAATTTACCCGCTGAATTTTGTAATATCGTGTCTGATCACACACTGAACGCGTAACGCGCGATTTTCAGAAGGAGAGAAAAAAAAAAAAGCCCCCCACGCGAATTGTGGTGGGGCCCGATTCGAACTGACCGATTCTCAATATATTATATACATATATATATAAAGCAAAACGTTCAGCAAACAAAATCCACCACTCTCTTTGAATCTCATATGCGCGCAACGTACTGCCTTGTATATAAGTTTAAAACACGCGTTCCTCGGCTTATCCGCGTACTTGGTTGAACGCGACTCTGGAATTGCCGTGGCGCCACCCTCCTCCCCCCCCATTCCTCGATGGTGTGTACCCCCCCGGGGGCCGGTCACCCCCTTCGCCGCCTCTCCCATGCTACCTCTCTCTTTCACTATATATATAACATCATCCTTTTCCCTCAAACATTAAATTCTCATCCTCTTTCCTCCACAAAACCACCTCTCCCACCTATCTAAACCGAGAGGTCTTTTTTTTCCCTATAATTTACTCCTCGAGTCAGGCCTTTTTTTGTTGTTTTATTCCATTTTCTTTACCCTCTCTGTTGCTTTACGCGCCAGCCATGAATCTTTGCTGGGGCTACGGCGCGACCGCCCCTTTAATAGCGCACCCGTGATACCGGCTTTCTGTAGTCACGTGTGCCGCCATCTGTTGGTACATTCCTTCAACTTATACAAAACAAGTTAATTGATCAGGTGCGAAGAAACTGATTTCTATACCCTGTGTATAAAACAATGAATTATGTTTTGAGGATCATTTTTTTCCTCTATTTTAGCTTCAATAGATGTATAAATATAAGTGAAAATTTTTGTCAATAAATATGTTGGTTTAGATAATTTAGAATACTTTGTGAGAATTCTGGATATTTCAAGATTCAGAGTACTTTTTACTTTGGAAATTTCGGGATACTTTTGATAATTCGGGATATTTTAGGTAATTCAGAATACTTTAGATAATTCAGGATACTTTAGATAATTCAAAATACATTAGATAATTTAGGATACTTCAGATAATTCAGAATACTTTAGATAATTCAGGATACATCAGATAATTCAGAATACTTCAGATAATTCAGAATAATTCAGATAATTCAGAATACTTTAGATAACTCAGGATACTTTAGATAATTCAAAATATATTAGATAATTTAGGATACTTTAGATAATTCAGAATACTTTAGATAATTCAGGATACTTCAGATAATTCAGGATACTTTAGATAATTCAAAATATATTAGATAATTTAGGATACTTTAGATAATTCAGAATACTTTAGATAATTCAGGATACTTCAGATAATTCAGGATACTTCAGATAATTCGGGATACTTTAGATAATTCAGAATACTTCAGATAATTCAGAATACTTTAGATAACTCAGGATACTTTAGATAATTCAAAATATATTAGATAATTTAGGATACTTTAGATAATTCAGAATACTTTAGATAATTCAGGATACTTCAGATAATTCAGGATACTTCAGATAATTCGGGATACTTTAGATAATTCAGAATACTTCAGATAATTCAGAATACTTTAGATAACTCAGGATACTTCAGATAATTCAGGATACTTCAGATAATTCGGGATACTTTAGATAATTCAGAATACTTCAGATAATTCAGAATACTTTAGATAATTCAAAATACATTAGATAATTTATTAGGATACTTCAGATAATTCAGAATACTTTAGATAATTCAAAATACTTTAGATAATTTAGGATACTTCAGATAATTTAGGATACTTCAGATAATTCAGAATACTTTAGATAATTCAAAATACTTTAGATAATTTAGGATGTTTCGTGAACTTCAAAATAATACTTCAGATAATAAAATTTATTATGATACTTCGACTGTAGAATATTTCATGATACTTTAGGTAATTCAGGATACTTCAGATAATTTAGAATACATCAGTTAATTCACGTTACTCTAGATAATTCAGAATATACGTCTTTAGAATATATTTCATGATACTTTATAGATAATTCAGGATACTTTATGTACTTCAAGATAATTCAGAGTACTTTAGAAAATTATTAAAAAATACTTTAGTTGATTCATGACACTTGAGATAATTGGCGTTACTCTAGATAACACAGGATATACTTCAAAGTACTTCAAGATATTTTGTTATACACTTTACATATATATGATTTAAAAAACTTTAGATAATTCAGAATACTCTATATATATGTACTTCAAGATAATATACTTATTTAGATAATTCAACATATAGACTTTAAAATAATTGAAAGTACTTTGAATATAGTTGCAAATACTTTAAGATAATTCAGGATATTTCAGATAATTCTCAATACTTCAGATAATTTAGAGTACTTCAAGGTACTATTAGGATATTTCTTAATACTTCATACAATTTATGATACTTTATATACTTCAAAATAATTCAGAGTAATTATACTACTTTTCACGTTACTTCAGATAATTCCGAGATAATTCAATATATTTTAAGATACTTCAGATTATTTCAAAATATTTCAAGATAATTAGTAAGAAATTATTATTTTTAATCGATAGTAATTATAATAAATGATTATAACAAATAATTATAATTTCGACTAAAATAATTATTATTTTTATTATTTATTAATTATTTTATTTATTATTAAACAAAATTTATTTCAACTTAAAATTAAAATATTTCATGTGGGTATTGCAATGAAAAATTGAAAATTTTTTTAATTTCTTTGTTTTTATTTACATATATTTACAAATTATATATTATACGTGCGTAATATATAAAAAAAATAATACACATATGATGCTTATTACAAATATTTTCAATATATACAATAGAGAATATTTACAATATATATTATAACATAATTTTATAGCAAATATTAATTACATAATTTTTAATATTTATACAATTAATATCGATTTTCAATATGTTATAATATATATAGGTATTGAGATTTGAGGATATGTATATATTTATATAGAAAGAAATTTATTACAAAATTTCAGTAGCATTTTTATGAAAATAGTATTATTATTATTATTATTAATTTTTAAGGCCATGCGGAAGAGAAAATTAAACTAATAATTTTTTTTAATGAAATAAATTAAGTGGAAAAAATTTTTGTACATATAAATATATTTATAATCTCATGCTTCCATATGACCTTAAATATATAATAATATATAATATTCGAAGGAACTTATATATAACAGCCTCGTTTTCACTTTGATAAAATATATATATATTTATCAAAGTTTGGTAGTAAGACGGAAAATTCCTTAATTTTTATATAAATTTTATTTCATTTTCCGATATTTCAATATTTTTACACATTTTTCAAAATTGCTTTCTTTGTATTTTTCAACATTTTATTATTTTTTCTACCTTTTTAGATTTAAAAAATTTTTTTTAATGTAATATATTTTTCTAAATTCTGTAATTCGGATCACAGGTATATATAACACTGTAAAAAAATTGTCCTTTTAAAAACTATTTCATGTTAAACAAAATATTAAGAAAATTTCTTTATGGCAAAAAACAGTTCCATATAAAAAAAAATATTTGTTTTTTATACAGTAATCACAATTTTTGTTTAAAAAATTAGTTATTTCTCTAGCCAATACGGAATTGAGAAATTATGGCACTGATACGACAAAAGAAAAAATAATTATAATACTGTTTGGTTTAAAAAAAAATGAGGGGAATTTTAAATAGCGAGGTAATTTAAATTATCAATATACTGTGGCACTTGTTGCTGTTGTTGTTGTTGTTGTTGTACTGAAACGGGATGCGTCACTGTTCTTCGAGTTTGTGGTAAATTCTCCTGATTCTCACTGATGTTATTTGTTTGCTTCTTTTTTGTTGTTTGTTTAGTTTGTTTCAAATGTGTTTTTATGTGTTTAGTTAAATGATCACTGCGCATAAATCTTTTTTCACATGTTGGACAGGTAAATCTTTTTTCACCAGTGTGTATTCTTCTATGACGTTGTAATTCATCAGTTCTTGTGAAACTTTTACCACAAAATATAAAATCACAAATATATGGTTTCTCACCAGTGTGACCACGTAAATGTGCCTTTAAATGTGATGTTTTCCCATAAAGTTTATCACAACCCGGATAAAAGCATGTGTGTCCCCGTTTACCATCAGTTGCAAGTTTATAGCCAGTTTCTAATTGACAATTTGGACATTGGCAACGGCTACTTTTTCGATTTGTCGTTGCTTTTGGTTTTGATTCTTGTTTCTCAATTAAAATTTCATTGGTTGATGGCGCTGTTGTATTGTACATTGTTGATATATATTGATGATAGGGTGAGATACGACTAGTTGGCACGTGCGTTGAATTAAATGCTGTTGTATTTGAGGTAGCATAATACTGTTGAGTTGTATTATATGAAGCGGTGTGATTTGATGGGAAATATTGTGGGGAAAATTGATTTGCTGGAAAGTGATGCGGTGCTTGATGATGATGATGATTGAAATTTGATGTTGTTAAATGGGATTGATTTGGAATTAGATGAGCGGTACTTGGTGGGGAATGATGTTGTATTGGAGAATATTGATTGGGACTTGGTTGTGATTGATAGGATACTTGTGATGTTTGTGATGTTTGTGAGGGACACGGTGATGCACCATTTGATGGAGGTGGTGGTGAATGATTTAAATATTGTTGAGAATTGGAATTATATGTCACTGATGGTAATCCATATGATGGTGGTGTTGTTGAAGCTTGTTGATTTTCCGGATACCAATAGGGATTCATCAGATAGGCATTGTATTCCTGATGGCGGCGAATTGGTGGATTTTGATGATATTCGCCATGATGAGCGATTAGCGGTGTGCCGTTTATTTGAAACATTGTTTGCATCTCTGACCACATCTGTAAGATGAAAGAATTTTTTTTATTGCAAAAATGCTTTTTAAAAGATTTTACAAAACAGATTTTAATTTACGAAAATTAAATTTGATTTTAACTGTTTCTATTTTTTAAGAAAAATTTTAACACTACTTTTTTTGTGATGTAGAAACAATTCTCTGGTTATTTAAATTCCGTTAAACTAAAATTAGTTTTTGATTCTGCTAACAAAATTTTGGTAGAATACAACAAAAATTTAGTTCCTATCGAAAAAAATAATTTTAAAACCAAATATTCGGTTTGCTATAAACTTTTTAGATTGAAAATTGTATTTAAAATACAAAAAAATGGGAAAATAATTATGTACCAACCTGTGGATGCTGCATGATGAATATGTTTTACGTTACTCCAAATGAAAATCACCAAAATTGCACTTAAACTTTTTTTTTGATCCTTGCACAAAATCACAAAATTTTTTTCTTTTTATCAAAACAATCAGAGAATCCAAGTTCAATTGTCAATTGCACTGAATCACAAAAGGTTTTTTTAAAAAAAATATTTCTTTTTCGAAATTAAAAAAAAAAAAAAAATCAGGAGAGAACGTCTCTCAGGTGCACAAACTTCCCTTCAGGGCGTTCAGGAGATAATTGCTGGTTGGTGAGCGTGTCGCCTCGGGTTTAATAACTGAGTGGACAGCAAACCAGTGAAGAGGGAGGTTCACATTGGATTCCGAAAGTTAGAGTGGGGAGAAAGGACCACTGGTGTGTTTGTGTATGTGTGCATCAGGTTTGACGCAGGAAACGCGCAGGCTCTATCCCCACTTTTAGAAAAACATAAATCAACCCCAAACCTCAAGAGACGCATGATATATCCATAAAGCCAAAAGGAACTGAATCTTTTGTGGTCCGCCCTTGTGGCCCTTTCCAATATGCAGTTCTATCTTACTATATATATAAAGATCTATGCCAGATTCCGAGGATTCCCCACCAAAATTCCATTTCTTCCTACAATTCAAAAATTACCTTCTTCATCTTCTATTTGATAATCTTTATCGCTATTCTTCAATTTTTTTTTTTTTATATCCGCTTCAATATGAATTCATATTTAGATCGAAAATTATAGAGTATTAATTTGAATTGGGTTTATGGGCTTTAAAAAATCTTTTGGAATTTTATTTCAAATTATTTATTTAAAGTTCATGGAGATTTGTAAATAATAGAATTTTATGGGGAAATTTTTGAATTTTTGAAAATTTGAAATAAGCATACCAGTAATTTATTTTCAATTTAAATGCATTGTGTGTGAATATTATATATATATAGATGGTGCTTGTTTAATATAACAAGAAATGAGGATCGTGTGTCTAGAGATCATTATAACATAATTGAAGGCGACTGATAAATATCTGAGAATATATGGTTCATTAAAAATCCATTAACTCATCGCCGTATACATTTATATTAGATATGAAATCTAAATATCTTATAGTTTATTTTCTTAATTAATTATAAAACTCAGTTTGTTATTATATATATTAGTATATATATGTATATATTGTATTAATATATATAAAATTACACGGATCCTAATTTCTTAATTTGTTTTTAATTATCAAGTTCGCTATAAATAAATCAGAAGCTGTTTTATAGAAATAATATATTTCGTTTACAAATTTTCTATGTCAAAAAAAATTAATTATACCAAATTTACGAGTTAAAAGTAAAGAATTTTTTTTTTTACATTTTAAACAAATTTCAAGTTTTTGTAATTAAAACTACAAAGATATTAATAACTTTTATTTTTGATTTTATTAAAATTTGCCCTAAATAAAATTTTGGTTCAAATTAATTTTATATGGTTTAATTAAATTTTGCCCTAAATAAAGTATTGTTTCAATTAAATTTTATTTGACTTAAATAAAAATTTACACTAAATTGAAGCAAAATAAAATTTTGTTTCGAATAAATTTTGTTTGTTTTAAATAAAATTTGCGTTAAATAAAATTTTATGTTTAAAACATCGGCTCTTGAAATATATATAAATACCTGTCACAAAAACTGACTTTTACGATGTTTTAAAAATTGAACAAAAGCATTTTTTTTTTTTTAAATAAAAATACTTTCCCATACGTTTCAATATTTCTACACGTCATTGAAGTTTCCGATGTTAAAAGGAGAGCTTCCTGTCGTTTCCTCTTCATGAAAGAAAAAAAGAAAAAAAAAAAAAAAGAACGAGTGAACCTGTTAGGGACAATCGATCTAGCCTTTAAACGATTTTGTCACTTTTCTAATTTCATACAACATTTTACAATTTAACTTTTACGCAAAGTGCCGTTTTTCTCTCGCCTTCCCGCATCATCATTTTCACACTGATGGCAATATATATGGTTGTGTATTGTGAAAGATTGTCGCTTTTAAAGGCTTTTGACTTTTTGCCCAATACACACTGATCGCCGACTTATTGTCACCAATAGGGTATTATAATAATGGTTTTTGTATCGGGTAGCGCGAAAACGTCGTCACTCTTCTTCTTCTTCTTCTTCTTGCGGTGTGTCCCACATCATCAATGATCGCTTTACAGCTTCTGGAAAATGGTACTTTTTGTACGCACTTCAAAACCAAAAGTTCCCGTCGTCGGTTTTCTCATTGTATATATTCCTACTTTTGCCATTTGGTCCCTAAACTTTATGGATTTATGGCCTCTGACAATAATTTCATTCATCGATTCACACTGAATATTTAAACAAATTTTTTTTCATTTTAAAACATGTTTTTATAATGGAAATTAAAATTTGTAGTAATTTTTTATTTTCATAATTTTTAATTTAAAATTAATAAATAAAATATTTACCAAAAATTAAATAGATAGTAATTTTCTTTCTTGTAAAATTGATACAATTCTATTTTGTATTTGCTATTTTTATTTTTATTTTATTTATCAGAACACAAACTGTGTGTTTATTCAGCTTTGCACATGGCAATTTATTTTCTATTATCGACAAGTTTCGTTGGCGGAAACAAGCAACAAATCAAGATAATGCCGGAAATGGAATTATCGACTAAGAAAAATATTTTATCAATTCTTAGAATTAGAAATTTTTTTTTTCTTTGTAATTATTAACAAATTGATTTTTAAAAGTTCTATTAACAAACGCAAATATTTTCCAAAAAGTTCAAGAAAAATAATTTTCTGAGGGCAAAAAAAAAAAAAAAAAAATCATCGATCATAGGGAATTTTTAAATACATACTATAAAGTGGACACGCGGTTCTCTCTTGGGAGGAAGTTGAAAACTGTTGGTTAAGGTCAATTCATTGGAAACAATGATCTTATGGCTTGTGCCTTTTTATTTTTTTTCTTCTCTCTCTATCTCTCAGCAAAACTGCTGTGGGACATGTGTTTTCTCTTGCATTTCAAAATTTTTGAGGAACGATGAAGCGTTGTAAATCTTTGCATCCTTGACACTGTCATTTCGTGTGATGGGGCGTTAAATGGAAATATTAAGCCCCCGCCCAAAAAAATGTGAAAAACCCCTTTAACATTTGGCCGGACTTGTGCCAGTATTGTCCTAGATAATAAGCAGCTTAATGCATAGGGCGTGGGGTGAATTGATTCATATACGTAAACACTACTCCCACTTAATATATAATAAACAGGTATATTATTATTAGCCTCGTTTATTTTTATTACCAATCTCAAATTTTGCTATACTAATTACCAAATTATAATTTTTACTTTTTTTCGAGTGGGCGATAAAAATAAGAAAACCAATTTTTTTTAAAAACCGTAAATGATTTTTTTGTTTTAATTAAAATAATAAATTATGCTAATAAAAATCACTGAACTATAGAAATAATTTTGTTACATAAATTATAGAGAAAAAAGATTTGTTACATTAACAATCGGATTATTAGAATTAACAAATCTGATTTGTTGCAACAAATTTTCTTGTTTATCTAACAAATTCGAAATTGTTATGATAACAGTAAAACTGTTGAGAAAACAAATATTCTGTTTTCTCCCAACAAAACTATGGTTAGTTCTATTATAATCCGGTTATTTGACCTTCTTCCTCCGTTTGATTTAGAACTAATCTTTAAAATAATAAAAATTTTCTATTAAATAATTTTTTGTATATAAATTTTGTTTTCCAATTTATATATTTTTCCAATTATTAAAAAATTCCTTGAACCTATATACAATAAATGTTTATATTTTTAACATATGGGGTAAATTTTTAAAGCTCGTAAATATTAAATTTCCAGGTGAATTGAGGAATCGATTTGTAGAAACGATTTCCACCAGTGGCACATCGTTAAACGGGACACAGTTTATCAGCTGAAGATCTTTGGACCGCGGTTCTCTTTTGCATCAGTTGAAGTCCATTTTTTCGTCATACAATACCGGTATAATACGCAGAAACAAAGAGAGATCCCCCGAAGAAATAAATGATCTCTTCGCTGTTGATGATGCTGCTGCTCCTCTTGCGGTGTGTATGGATGCTGTGAAGAGGGATGGATGAAATATATCTTTTCAAGGTCCGGGTGCTGGTTTATATTGACCATCGCAGTGAACTTAAGGTCAGTGGTTATATTTCCCAAAAATTCTATTTCTTATGCACGTGTTAAAATTTTCTCATCTTTCGTTATATATATATGCACAAAAATCTCATTTTCTCGCCACGCGTTTTTCAAAGACGACATTCAGAAGCGTTGAACCGATGCAAATTGCAATGTCCCATCAGGTAAAAATGACGAAAACTTGCGAAAAAAAAAAGAGAGAGAGAGAGAGAGAGAGAGAGAGAGAGAGAGAGATGACTTCGTTCTCCTTAAAATTCGAACACTTGTCAAATTCTATATACTTATGTTCCGGGTGTGACAAATGCTTTCTTTGAAATTTCTTTTCATAACTTTATGTAGTTAATCTGAGAGGGGTGGAGATCATTTACCGCTTTACTTTTCATCTTTTCTCCCGAAATCTTTCTTCTTTTAATTCGATAATCATTGTATGCAATCAAACGAAATGCATGTTGTATTTGAATTAGAAAATAATTTTCAAAATATTAAACAGGAAATGTGCAAAATATAATGCAAAGATCTTTAATATTATTAATAAAATATTAATTATTTATATAGTAAGCATTCATTTTAATATTATGTTTGAAAATGAATAAATATTTTACGAAAATAGGACAGAAATACAGAACACACAAAACACTTTGCACTCATTGATGTTCTATATAGATAGGGAAACTAAATTTTAACAAAAATTTAAAGAGCGCATATATGTTCTAAAAGCATTATCCGCATAAAGTGATTTGCGTGTGAGTCAAAAAGTAAAAGATTTTACATATTATTAATATAATAATATTTATTTTAATTTTACTAAAAAGGGTATATTTTTTTGCCTTTTTAGAATTATTTATAATTTTTATGGTTATAAGCATTTAATTATAAAAAACGGACAAGTGCGAGTTGAATACTATATATAAGCTTTGGTTGTTGAATAATTGGTATTCTATTTTCAATAGTAGCAATTTATTGTAGGGCTTTTCATTAGTAAATTTTTGCACGCATTTCTTATTAGTTATAGTTGTTACCAATGGTTGTAGAAATCATTGGTAACTTTTTGCTTGTAGTTAGTTGTTATTAATGGTTTTAGAAATCATAGGTAATTTTTTGCTTGTAGTTTTAGTTGTAGTTAGTTATCAATGGTTG